AGATATTTTCCTTTCATAAACAAATGGAATTGCAAACAATACCCAAGCTTACACAATTAACGTTGATTATAAACTTACTATAATTCAGATCCCGTGTTCAAGGAATGTTGCTTTTATTTATTGTGTAAATTAATGTACTGATTAAGGCAAAACATTCTATATTAATATATGGTATTGTATTTGTATCCCTTTATACGCCCTGTGAGTTATTAGCCAGTTCGGTTTGTTTCGCTTAGAGCCGAGCTGAAATGCCACCCTCGATATAAACTTCTCGTTTAATCGGTCGGGCTTTTGATTCTATTGTTCTATTTATAATGATCTGCAATCAGCACTACACATAATTACAGAAAAGGAGCTGGACATGTCCCGTCTGCGTCTGTTTGTTTGTTTAACGGATTACGTGTCGGTACACTGATGATGAAACTATTTCTATTATATAACTTGCTGAAATGTTGACAGTGGTGTCGTAAGGTGGTAAACTATTCAAATGCGTCCTGCAATTACTTTTTCTGCGTTTGATTTCGATGAACAGCATAAAATGTAATCTGATTGTAATCTTTTGCAGATTGCAATTTGAAAAAGATTGCAGGAAACTAGTTAGTTTGATCATTATCTCGCGAGACAAATTTAGCTATCTTGTGTGAGTACAGGTCGTATGGCAGCGACCCCCTAGGTAACTGAAGAATTACCTGTTTCATTATTATCTCTGCAATATAAGTAATCCGCGAAACAGACAATGTAACTAAACATTTTTTTCAATGTCTTTTTTTCAATGTACGTCTACACTTAAAGCCTGGGATTGGTAAAGTGCAGCCAGTGTGATATGTGATGAAGATCAAATTTAATGTCTCGTGAATTGCGAGATGATCGCGAAATCGCAAAACAAACGTTTTAATTTCGTCACAGATTGTTTTCTATTTGCATTACATGCTTTTGTCGTTTTTGTTTAGGGTCTCGCTCATTTCTATTCCACAATCAAACCTTTCATTGCGCACATGGCTATCAAATTTGCATACCTTTCTCTTATAAATTATTGATTTATGATTTATTGATTTATTTATTATGATTTATTGATTTATTGGGTAATCAAAACCAAAATGAAATCCGACAATACACCTTATTAGCAAATGGCTGCCGAGATCTCGCTGTGAGTGAGAGTGCCACGAGACTTGGTTTTGCAAGCGCAGCAACCACGTTCATTTAACCATGGATGTACTACATCCATGATTTAACCTTTGATATGTTACCTCACAGTGCAGAAATGGAGGGA